TTGCTATACTATATTCCAACCAACTAGGATGCCATTATACCATGAAATACAAAAAAGCCTATCTTTGTTACCCATTCTTGTAGGTGGAAAGGCATGATTGCGAGGCTGACAAAGACCCCTTTGCACATACACTCTTCAAATCACATCTCGATCTTTAACATTATAATTCTGTATTGGAATTCTCAATCCAGGATCAGCAAGAAGATTTGCAACATCAACATCCCCGACTCCTCTAACATCCCCAACTTCTTCTACATCAACATCAGCATCGACACCAACACCAACACCAACACCAACACCAACATCAACATCAACATCAACATTTCTTTTATCACTTTTGTCTTGAACATTCCTTTCGTCGGTATTTTGCTCATCACAAGAAATCATAGACTTACGTTTAAAGTATTTGTCCATAACCGATACAAAAAAAATAAAATTAATCACATTAGAAGTCCCTTAATCAAAATTGAAAATTGCCTTCTCAATAAATGAAATTAATCAAAATCCCTAACTCCCTAAAAGCCCTAATTAGAAATCCCTAACTATCAATTTCGAAAAAACCCTAAATCTCTAAATCCCTAAATCAGTAAATCCCTAAATCAATAAATCAGTAACTACCTAAATCAGTAAATAACAAACACAATTCATATACCTCAATATGAAATCCCTAAATCACTAAATAACAAACACAATATACTAAATCAATAAATCAGTAACTACCTAAATCATTAAATAACAAACACAAATCATATACCTCAATATTAAATCCCTATAACACTAAATAACAAACACAATATGAAATACCTAAATCAGTAAAATTGAAAATCAATACATCCCTAAATCAGTAAATCCCTAAATCAGTAAATAACAACACAATTCATATTCCTCAACATGAAATCCCTTAATCACATAATAACAAACACAATATGAAATACATAAATCAGTAATCAGAAAACAATATGAAATGAAACCCAATAATTAATAAATACACTCAGTCTCGGATGTGGAACTTACCTCAGAGTGACGCTGGCGGAACTGGGGGGACAGGCACTGGAGCACCGAGCACTGGCTGGAAGGAGTGACTAGTGAGGAGGACGGGGTGAAGCTTGGAAGATGGAACGGTGCGGGCGCGAGCGCGGGCTCGAAGAGTGGTGCCGTGACTGTCGAGCTCGAGCCCGTGGGAGTCACTGGCGGAACTGGGGGTCAAGGGGGTGGCCTGGGAGAGAGGCTGCTGGCTTAGAGACGATCGGAGAAGGGAGACACAGAGAAGGACGGACGTCACGGACTCACAGACGGGAGTCGGGAGAAAGCTGAGTGAAGGGGAGGTTGGGAGGGTTTTTTAACTTCTATTATTTCTTATTTTAAAAAAAATTCAAAATCTGGGAGGGGGCACGTGCCCCCCAGGCCACCCCCCAGTTCCGCCAGTGCTCCTCGTCCTATTCATTGTTTGATGGTGGAACCAATAGCTATGGAGGTCAAACTGTACAAGCAACAGCATGGGGAGTGGTACTGGTAACAACAGGTTTAGAAGGTACACTCACCCAATTTTGAGTGTGGTCATGGGTTACTCGCCGAACTTTGAAATATTTTCCATTGATCACTCAACTTTAGAGCATTGCATTCCATCACCCACCCAACTTTGGGTTTTGTCACGGATTATTCACCAAATTTCAAAATACTTCTCATTTATGGTCACTCAACTTTAGAACATTACACTCCATCATTGATTGTCGGTTAAATGTTTCAACGCCCACCCAACTTTGGGTGTGCTCACAGTTACTCACCGAATTTCAGTGCTTCTTATTGTTCGCCGAACTTCAGAATGCTTATTTTATTTAATAGCTCAATTTCATCTTACAAATCAAATATTATTAGACAATTTGTATAAGATTATATTATTTGGAGAAAATTTAAGACAGGTTACTCTTTTCACGTTCTTATGTTATGCAATTCGATTTATTATTATTTATCCTAAATCATCTAACGTCCCAGCCAAAGTGAAACTTTAACGTAAAAATAAGTCTTCTATGTGTTCTGGCCGTTTTGGCAATAATGGGGGAGTAGATAAAAAAAACATTGACTTGTGCGAGGGACAAATCAATAAGTAATTGTATTGTATCAACGAGTTTAAGAAATCTTCACTTGTGAACGATCTTGTAAATTGTAATATTTTTGTTATTTTTTTCTATCATCTTGTTTCTATTTTCTTTTATATAATCGTGTTTCATAATCTCATTGAATCAATAAGCATTCTGAAATTCGATGAATAACCGGTGACCACAACCAAAATTGGGTGGGTGTTGAAATATTTAACTCGTGAATAATGGAGTGCAACGCTCCTAAAGTTGAGTGATATCACACCCAAAGTTGGATGGGAAATGGAGTGCAATGCCCTAAAGTTAAGTAATCAATGAAAACATTCTGAAGTTTGATGAGTAATCCATGACCACACCTAAAGATTGGGTGTTATCAAATATTTAACTCATCAGATATTTCATATGCTAAAGATGAAAAGAGTGTTGAAAAGAGCATTGTGTTTGAGGTTTATCCTCCTTGTATCAGTTTTATGCTAATTTAATGGATGTGTACTTAAAAAATAAAAAATAAAAAAGATGAAAAGAGTGTGAAAAGAGTAATTGAAATGTCTTGTCTGGTAATAGTACATTGGGCAAGGGAACATATATTGATGGCCTGATAATGTCCGCCACAACATTTCTGTTCTTTGGTTCTTCCTCATCGTGTTCTTTGTATCTGAATTCATTTGAGTTCAATTGGACCTTTGAACCTATAAGTGATTATTTCATTGTGTTTGCTTTTCCATATTGACCTTACATACTGTGGATAAGATTTGAATTCTTTTTTTAATTATGTTCAATATTTTTCGGTACAGTCTCTAAATATGTCATTGCATCTGTTTGGATCTTTATGATAGATCTACGTTGTCTCGATTTGAAACTCCCAACACTCATTTAGGTTTCATCTCAGCCACATCATTTCTGCAGCATATATTATTTTGTCTACTAGGAAGCAATTTTAAATATTGAAACATAAATGAAGGGGGGGGGGGGGGGGGGGGGNTACCATTCCTTTTCTATACCTTTGTCACCCATGCTTGGTGGAAATTAAAATCATATTTTTAGTATATTTTGATAAAAATTAATAAATTTTGTAGTTGAAAAGTTGTGAATTCCAAAAATGTGATTAAAATTCATTGTTGGCTTTGATTTAAATTAAAATCTAGATTTTAATCCCTACTTTGATTTAAAGCCCGTTTGGTAGAGATTAAAATCGGATTAAAATTAAAAAAATCAGCCGTTATTATTGATTTTTATTAGACGAGTTAGGTCCAATAACGACTATATTTTCAATTTTAATTGAATTTTAATCGGTACCAAACGAGCTCTAAATGTGTCAACCAGTTAGTATTGACACCGATGCTAGGGACCCTTTTAATGTTATGGGTTTTTTGGATTTGATTAGATTGACCCTTTTCGACACCTCTATCTAAATTACTATTTTCATTTACGCGAGAAAATACTTCGATACTGATAGTATTCTTTTCCCATGATGTAACAAAGCATATTTATGTCACCCATGATCCAGCAATAAGCATATTTGTGTCCCACACCCCGCATTGGGGACACAAGGGTGCATCTAAAGCCTTTGGTGAGTTTTGGAACACATCTTCAAGAAATGGTTCTTGGTTTTAATTTTTTCTACTCTAGTAATTCCATAAACCTAATCAATTATGTCATTTCTTGCTTTAGAATCTTCTTTCTAAGAGTACTTTACTTTATGAAATGTTGAGTACGTCGAATCAGATGGTATTAGAAAAAAATTATACAATTCAACAAACCCGATCAGTCAGGGTAACAAGAATTAGGAATGAGATGTGGGTGAAATTCTCGTTATAGGCTGAAATGTTCAGTCGACTCTCTCCTCCTTTGTGGGATTCAAACCTTAATAAGTGAGCAAAAAAGAGAGAAGGAAGAGGCCCAAAATAATTTATAATACGTTGCAACATTGTATAATGAATAATATTGTATCCTAAACGTAACTTCGTAGTAATCGATAAAAGCTCCATTTTTTAAAAAAGTGGGCAGTGTAATTGGAGTCCTACTGGCCCAAATCCATTATTAGTAAATATTTCTTCTCTGCATTTGTTTCCTTTTCCAGGGAAAAGAATCAAATTGTGGATGGAATTGACACTTTAAATTCTTCCCATCAAATGACTTGATACCTTCCAACAATTGTCAAAATCCCCCTCTGCATTTGCGGAGTTCAAGAAATGGCTCACCAGGTACTAGCCTCCACCTCCCCACCCACCAAGAAAGAAGACCCAAAAAAAACACACACACACTCTGTGATTAAGCTTGTTTTGTGACTTAGCTTGAGTAATGGGATTGTGTTGAATAAGAAAATCTTGAAATCTTTGTATAAATTAATTGAGTTTTCTTGGTTTTTGCAGGAAGAAGGGTGGCCTTTAGGGCTGCAACCACTAAATGTGAGAGTTGGGCTGGTGAGGAATCGTGATTTCAATGGCTCTATTTCTTTCAACACTTTAGTCACTGGTTCCCCCACTTCTTCCACTGATTCTTCTTCTGATCTTGATACTCAGGTAATATTATCCACAAATGGATTTTTTATTTTATTTTATTATTATTATTATTTTTTTTTTTGCATTTTTTCTCTGTTTAAAAGAGATTGTTTTGCTCATAGAATATCATTCTATCAACAATCTAACAAGCCCTTCAACTAATTTTTGATAATCAATTAGTCCCTGTTATCTCTTTTTGACCTTTTCTGGTAAGAGTAAACATCTCTCTGTAAAAGTTGGCTTATTTCATTGTGTATGTTTCATGTTGGTTCGTTTTCTGTGTCAGATTGGGTCATGCTTAGTAAAAGTTAAAAGGTGCGCAAACACTTTTCTTTTTCACATGGCCTAATGATGTTGCTTTCACTCTTTTACTAGTTATCTAGGCATTTGTCCAGTTTGTTAATTGAAGAACCCACATGGAAACTGGTCAAAAATTGATGTAATATCATAAGTACTTGTGAATTGAGCAACTACTGGGATTGTGAAATAAAAATTCGAAAAATTCACATAAAACAGATGCCATTCTTGAAGGGATGGCTTGAACTGATAGTTTTTTGAATGCATTATGAATTATTACAGACGGTGACAGTGTTATTGTCTAGATGATAACCATTGTGGAATGTTTACTAGCTTTGTCCTTGTTATGTTAATGCTTTTCACCTGTTTCAGTCCACTGGTTCTTTCTTCCGCGACAAGAGTATCACTCTCGGGAACCTCATTGGTATTTCGAGCATTCTAGAGCTCTCGAGAAGATCAACGAGGGGAAGAATACCCGAACCACTAAGAAACAGGAAGAGTTACAAATCCAAGACATGGTTTTTCTCACTATGCTCCAAGCTAAGCACTGATGCTGTGAGCATTAACAACACCTCATCTCTCGGTCACTTTCTTGAAGCAGAAAGGAGAGCTGCTAGCAATTACAGAGGAAACCCAAGCCCGGGTGCTTATGGTCTGGATGATTTTGCTCATGTTCCAGACCCGAATTCATTATTTGTTGAAGGCCATGTTGCTCCACCTCAGTCAAGTTCTTGGCTGGACTCATCAAATGGTGAAAGAAACTTCAACAGAGACTTATTCCAGGAAGGCAATGGTGATGGATCTCCAATTCTTTTCTCATGTTTGTGTGGACATTGATGATCAAGTTCTCATTTTAACTGTCTGTACTCTCTATTTTTGAGTTAAGAAGTTAGAACATCGTCTTCTTTTTCAGCCTAATCCCATTGTTGTGGGAGGAAATTTCCTTCCGCAGGGTGTTTATCTATATTATTGTCATCCATTAACCTAGTCTTTATGTTGGCTCGACTCTCTAGTTGAGTTCAGTGTCTATAGTTACATTATGCTTATAGTGTGTTTAGTAAGGTGGACTCAACAATATTGGTCACTAGTCTAAATAAAATAGTGAAGAACAATCGCTAAGCAACTCAATTTAGAGGAATGGACGTCTTTCATACGTACCATTTGTGTTATACCATACGAAAAGTTTGATCTTGCACTAGAAACTTGGCACATAAAATAGAGAAAACCCTCTATATTCAAGAAATTAACAATTATAAAAAACCGCATTTGACTTCAGACTACCTGATATTTCAGATTTTACTGGAATTATTCCCAATTGCTCTTCAATCAAGTGCTAGACTGAAGTTATAAAGATGGAATATTGCAGCAATATGACCTCAGCTCAACTCGTTCCAAGCCCTAAGTCTTATCAAACTCCTCATTGCATTCTACGCCAACCTTTCCTGAACCCCGGCTTAATCTCCCGAATGAACCCAAGGATGGCAAACTCTTGAAGCTGCTGCTGCCTTCACCAGGATTAAATGACTTTCTTGTTCTTCTAGGCGTACTTGAACTGAACATCTCCATGTCACCATCAATTTTGTTCTTGGCAACAACTAAGCGAGTAATGCCAGTTCGACAGAATGGACATTGTGGAATTTTTACAGAATTAGCAGCAGAATTGGGTTTGATGTGACAGCACAAAGCCAGAGTGCAATGAGCACACATCTCATGACCACATTCTTGAACCTCAATTGTGCACTCATGCTCGAAGCAAATGCAACATAGCTTCGCATCGTTGGCCTGCATGACAAGAATGTTCCCATTATATTCCTCGACTATGATAAAAAGTAATTCATGAGAAAGCTACACCACCATCCACAAGGCTCAACAGTAAAATTGACATGATCTTATCTTTTTTTCTTAGTAGTGTCTATTACTATCAAATACATCTTATCCAACATGCCATGTTTGTTGCTCTTGAAGCGCACCTATGAATACTAAACACAGTGTACACATGATCACTTTTCCATTTATATTATTAAGAACATGTTTGGGAAGTGATTATAAACAATTTAAATCATCAATACATAGAAATGAGTAGTTTATAAACATGAGCCAAACATAGCTAAAAAATTACAACTCCATTTATCTTCTTCAACAGAATATTCATTGAAAACTAGCAAGTAGAGATATTGTACATTGAACATTGTCTCACTCGCTCTGCCTTCCCCAATATGGTTTTTATGCATTTTTAAAAGAATCTCAAGCAGTACGTATGATACATAAGCATTTGCTCCACATCTTTAAATTAAGAATATATCAGAACAACATAAGACTCGTCACCAAAGAGCATTCATTTGATCCTTTATATAACAAATTTGCATGCATGAACAGAGGAATACAAGTCATATTACTCCCAGTTTCTGATAGTTGTAAAATTCTTGGACGCACATAGTTTTGTATCTCAGGTATTAAGACAACAAGATAAGGATGTTCCTCTTTTTCTAGACCCGAAAAAAAAGTTTAATTCTAGCCATTCTCGACATGAACTGAATCAAGAATCTATAGAGATCTATTCTTAGCAAGACATTCATTTATTTTATGAGAAATGCAATTCAAAATACTTTTGGCAGGGTTTTGTACCTCAAAATCATCGTCAGTGACACCAGAACTAGAAGATTGTGGAATTGAGTCAGACGCCTCCATCAAGATCACTCTCCCTCTCTTTTTATTGGCTTCAATTAAGGCTTTTTCTAATAAAACTTTTGCCTCAGGATTCAACTCAGCAATAAATTTCAAGGACGACGGCCAAGTCAAAGGCTCAGGAGAAATAGGATTTAATAATGCAGCGCATGCTTCATGTTTGTGCTTCACGGCAACCATGTAAGGTATTCTCCTGCAGAGATACCATGCCATATAAATAATTTATTTGCTTTTACCGGTGAACATGAGAAAATAACTCTGTTCGAAAAAACTTTCACACAATATCAAAATGATAAAGGACAGAATTTCCCAAAGATTCAAGGATGCAACAATGACATGTAACAGATGATGTTTGGTTCAATTGGTAGTATTGTGATTGAATATTATTCCATAGTGACAGCAAAAGCAACATAAAAGTAGACATCTCATATTTGAGGTGTCCACATTCTGTAAGCGTTTTCACCTAAAACATCTCTACTGTGGTATTGCGATTGAACATTAATCCATTGTGACAGCAAAAGCAACATTAAAGTAGACATCTCAAATTTGAGTTGTCCACATTCTGTAAGAGTTTTCACCTAAAACATCTCTACTATATAACGGATTGGCTCATTGATCTCACAGGAATTCTATAGAGACATGAAATTGCCCAGTGAAGCTATCCGAATAATTGCCTTAAACTCTCAATTAGCTACACAGGAATTATTAACATTTATTTAATTTTCGTTATAAGACTTAAAACCAGAAAAACAATTAATTTTCAGCTTATATGTGCAATTATTTAAGTGACTTCGAGGGAGATGCATTTGTTTGGAAGAAAGTTCCATTGCTTACCCAGAGGAATCTCTTTGAAGACGATCAGCACCCCAAGCAAGCAATTCCCGGACACAGTCCAAAGAACCACCCCGTGCAGCCAAATGAAGAGGTGTACTCCCTGGGTAGCTGCAAATATTGTCTGTCTTTTTAAATCTGATAAATGCAACAAAATGCTAAAAGAACTAGATTAAAGGTATACCTATATCCACCAGTAGAAGCAAGCACAAGAGCTCCACTGCTCAATAGAACGTGAACACAATCTCGTCGTCTTTGATGAGCTGCCAAATGCAGCGGGGTTGCACCACTTCCATCCCTTATGTTAACAAATCTCGAAAACCCCCTGACCTCCCATTTGAGCACAATAATTAGCTAGTTGTTTTTATTAGACAAACATTGGGGTGTATTAGTATAAGACAACATAGGCAAGAAATAGTCACCAAGATTGTGCAACTGGAGTAGAATGAGCAGCAGAAAGAATCAATTGTAGGCAATCTGAATGACCATAGTAGGCTGCATAATGTAAACAGGTTCTTCCATGTAATGTATCAAACAACAAAATCTGAAGAAAATCCCAAGAAGAATTCATCATTAAATTAGTAACTCACCAATAAATACTGGAAAAAAAGAAAACAAAGAAGCAAAATGCAATGATCATACATTAGCTCCAGCTTGAATCAGTCTTCTCACGCAGGAAATATTGCCATGCATAGCAGCCAACATCAATGGAGTCTGATCCCATCAGAATCCAAGAAAAGCAATGCACATATTTTAGTATATAAAACAGACAAAAATCTCTGAGGAGAAAAAAATGCATCTCGACTCAAAATTACATAAAAATAACAGGATGAGCTTCCCTTAAACAAGAATCAAACAACACACACCTGTTTGTGGCGATTCAAGATATCTGGATTACTACACCGATCCAAAAGCACACAAAGAACCTACCAAAAGTACGGAACGAAGAAAATTTGATCAAATAACTCAAGAAAATGAGATATACAAATATTCACAAATCACAAAGAACCCACCTCAATCTGCCCAGTTGCAGCAGCCACATGCAGTGCAGAAAGCTTACCATGAACGGTTTTCACTGTCAACAAATTTCGTTTCTCATCGGCCATTGCTTCAACTGCTTCAAGCTCTCCAGTTTGGACTACAACGAACAGATCATTTTCGCGGAATTGTCCGCAGCTCAGCCCCTGCCCCATTTCCTCGGTATGAATAAAAGTGTCTTAGCTTGTGGTCAAGGCGCCACCCTCCACGGCGTAGTTGGTGTATGGGGTGATAAAAGTGGCGCGGCAGAGGAAGCGGAAGGTGGGACGAGGGTAAAATGTATAGTATCGAATTGGTCTTGGAGTTTGGACTTGCCCACCGGGATTCCGGGCAGCTGACCGGTTGAGTTTTGTAGATTTTCGGACACCTGTCGGAACTTTTAATTTTTGGGATAATTGGAGCAGCAGTCCCAAACCTTTCAAATATTAGTATGTGGGGTCCAAATGGATGATTTTTGTTAACTTGACCCTTAATTACCTAATAAATTGACTTTGACCAATTTTAAAGGAGTAAAATTGTAACTTTGAATTAAAACTAAAAAACAAATAAACAAAAACAATCAAAAACAAATAACTATTCATCTTCTCATTTCCACCCTGACAACGTACCTCGTCTTAAACCCAATCAAATTCATTTGCTAAGGCATTGACATAGTGTGATGCGAACAAATGGTGATGGATTCTCCGTTCCGAGATATTGTGCTAATACTATTTTTCGAGGTTGAATATTAGTCTGAGCCCCTAGTTTAGACAATTTTTGCCAAGGATTTTCATGGGAAGATTTGGAAATTTAGGCATATCTATAGAGAAACACCCCCATTAACATCTTTTGATAGTCGAGTGTGTTGGGAATATTAGGCCTAATTCCACCTAATAAAACCAGCTTATTAGGGAGGATTACCCTCACCTTATTAAGTTTATCATTAATATTTTTCCTAACAATGTGGGATTCTAATACGCCCCCTCACGCACAGCGTGAACCATGTCAAACAACTGTGAACAAATCAATATTGGGTTGCACCCAACATTGCATAATTGGGCCTAACTCTGATACCATGTTATGAATATTGGATCTAACTCCACCTAATAAAATCGGTTTATTAGGGGAGGATTGCGCTCACCTTATTAAGTGGATCATTTATATTTTCTCAAGCAACGTGGAATTCTAATAGAGTGGAGTAATTTTGTACACAAGAAGAAGCTCATTGCTAGTGATTCGATTGTGTTCTATATGGCATAAATGGGGATTTACGTGTCAGGATTTGAAGGGCAAATAAGGGTATTCGCAGTGGACCTGAGTTGTCTTCACAATGGAACACTGGAGATTTAAACTCTGTCTCATCCATGTATAGGGGCTTCTCAGGTTTTATGTGCAAAGACGGGAATTTGACCATGAGAAATGTTAAGAAAGGGAATGGAAAGTGCAGTTTAGGGTTGAGGGAAATGAGGAAAGTGAGAGTTGAATTTGTTATTGAAGCAGCAAATCTTGCTATCAATGGACAAAGCGTAAGAAATGCAATGAGAGTCCAATGGTATGCAAGGACTAATGGTTTTTTACTACTATCAATGGTGGAGGTCGTGTCAGAAAAGGTAGTATCGGGAGGGATGAGAGGGGGTAGTAGGTGCGGGAAGAAGAAGATAAACAGTGATTTTTTTTTTTTTCATTTTTTTTTTTTGGTTTTTAGTTTTTTAATTTTAATTCAAAGTTACCTTACCCCTTCTAAAATTAGTCGAAGTCAATTTATTGGGTCAAATAATGGTCAAACTAAGAGAAATCATCCATGGACCCCATGTGCTAATTTTTGAAAGGTTTGGAACTTTGAGTGGCACTAAGTGAAAGATAAGATAAAGTGTGCAAAAAGTGATAGATTTGGGGTCGCTGTTGCAATTATCCCTTTATTTTTGGACAATTACTAATTAATATTGTTTTTAGAGAAAAAAACACTAGTTATTATTTTTTGAAGGACATCACTTTCTAATTTGAGATAATTGCAGTGGTGGTCCTAAATGTTTTTAAAATGTGCATATTATACCCAAACTTCTAAATCATAGCATTAAAGGTCCCAAATCTTTCAAAAGTGTGCGTCAGAAGGATCTCTGGACTGTTTCGGCCCAGACATAATTTGATCAATTTTATAAAGGGCCAAATAAATAATCTTTTAACTTTTAATTATGAAAAAAAGAACTAATTTCATCGAAGGTCCCCAAACATTTCAAAAGTGTGCAGGGAAAGTCCTAAATCTTTAATAAATGTGTGCCACAAGACCTCTAACAATTTTCATCCAAATAGATGTCAGTTGACAAAAATGTTATCTTCTCTAATTCTTCACACAGCCACCCAACTGCAATGCCTAACCTACGCATTGGTAGGTGGGGAAGCCTCCGCTACAGTCTTTATTTATTTCTTCTTAATTCTTGTTAAGAGAAAATATAGTTGAAATTGATCGGGATAATGATGTAGTGACGGTGGTGACATTGTGTGAGGTTGAGATTGAACAAAAATATTCATCCTTGATTGATGAGCCTCACTATGGTCACCGTCACCTAAGACACAACCACAACATTGTCAGCCACCGCCAATGACTCATTTTAATATCCTTCAACTCCACTTCCTCTTAACAAAAACTTTTAAATAAACGAAAAATAAATAAATAAAGATAGATCAATTCAATTCAAAGTTCAAAACCAAACAGATGGTGGCGAAAGCTTCCCCACCTACCAATGGATGAAGTTGGATGGGTTAGGGGTTAAGCGTTTGGGTTGGAAGAATCGGGGAAGATAAATATTTTTGGATGAAAATCTTTATAGTTCTTTTCGATGCGTATTTATTAAAAGTTTGGGGCATCCACATCATAATTTTGAAGGCTTTGAGACATCAAAAGCAAATTTTCATTTTTTAAATTAATAGAATATTAAAATGTCATTTTGCCCTTTTAAATTGGTCAAATTGTGGTCAAATACTAACTTTTGATCAACTAACGTGCCCCTGGATATAAATTGTCCAAAGGTCCTTCCATCGCACAATTTTGAAATGTTTCGAATATTGGTTGCTACTTTTTAGAGGTTTAGATGTAATCTTCACATTTTCAAAAGATTTGAGACCTCCACTGTAATTATCCCTTTTCATTTTTACTAAGGATGATAATTTCACTTTTCCATTAGCTAAGAATGAATTAAAATTTGGTTGATTTGATAGAGGGGACGATTGGAGAAATTTTTTGAAAATGTTGAAAAACAAAAATATGTGAATTTTTATATTGGTCCTACCGACAAGAATCCGGTTTTTTCGAAAAAGAAATGTACCACAATTTAAATGGATGGCTATAGAAGACGTGACTTTTTTGGTGTAGCTAAAAATTAAATTTTAAATAATTTTTCACAAATTATAATTGAAAAGTTGATAAAAGTTATGAATCTCATATCATGAAATGTGTTGTTTAAAATGAATACGAAAAAAATATAAATTTTAAAAAATGGGGACCAAACATAGACATATTTTTATCCTTATAAAGGTGCACAAAACAAATTGTAATTTATTTGGACAGCTTTATTTAGGGGTGTCCAAAAGTCTCGAATCGGACCGAACCGAACCCAAACTGAACCGAACCGAGCGATTCTTCATAAATTAAATACCCGAACGGGTACCCGAATAGAAAACCAATAGGTTTGAGTCGGGTCTAGACCAAGAACCGAAGAATCGAATAAGAACCTAAACTAAATAAATTTTTTATTTTTTATATTAAATTAATTAAATTAGTTTATTTTTTTAATACAAATTAGCAAATTAATTAAATAAATCAAATTATTTCATAATTTTAATTTTAAAGTCCACTCATTTTTAAAATTCATTAGCCCATTTTAATTTGAAACAAATGAATATACTTTATGTAGTTTTGCTGTAGTATTAATATCTACTTTTTGGTATTTGTATGCATTGAATTAATTTTATTGGACGGCTAGTTATTTATATGTTTTTGAATTGGGTTACGTTAATTTGTAAAAGTTACAAATGAAATGTCATTTATTGTATTTATGTAGTGTTACTGTAAATATTAAAAAAATTGATTATGGTACGGAACCGAACCCGAACGGTTCCATAATTATATTTGGACCCGACTGGTCCATTTATTAAATATCCGAAAGTTTTGGGTCGGTTCGGGTCTCTTCAGAATCGAACCGAACCACCCCACGGACATCCCTAACTTTATCTAACTTTATCTAATGATTCCGTTTCAAGCGATAGCATTAGTAATTAATTGCGATATTGGTTAGGATAATTATTAAAGCTATAAAATAATTAAGTTCTAACAACGAAGATTTTTGCAAAGTGACCACACGTATGTAGACAGATTAGTACACTAATTAAATTATCAAATTTATTAGCAATAAGAAATCATTAATAGTTGTTAAAAAATCATTAATATCAGATGATGGCATCGTGCAACTCAATATAGCACACACCAAAAAAAAAAAAAAAAAAAATTCAACATTTTTAATTTAACAAAATAATGTTATTTTTTATCTCACATGAAATGTGGCATATTTGAAGTTCAATATTTGAATCGACTTGTTAGAGAACAGGAGAGATGGAGAAGAAGAGTCGAGACTCGAGAGAGTGGAGATGAAATGTGAGTGAAAGAGAGAGATGGTGGATAATTGGTAAAGTAATTTAAAAGTTTTAGGAAAATCTCTAAAAAATAATAATGTTGAGATCGAGAAAAATGTTTACTTTAGATGTTATTAATTTATTAATAAATAAATAGTTTGTTAATTTATTGATAGAACACGTGGTCAATGCATTTCTAAACAATGCAATAAAAATATTTTAAATTTCAAAGTCCTCTTGAATTATCCTAGTGAAAATAATACGATACTGGAATAACTCAATAACATATTATTGAAATGATTATTCAACGTGTACTCAATAAACTATCTCAAAAGATATAAGGCTGTGTTTGATTGCAATATTTTTCCATGAAATTTGTTTTCTCTCCCCATCATTCACGTGTCTCTTTTCTTTGTTTTCCTTGAAAATGTTTTCTTTTGGTTTTGGTGGAATTTTGTTTTCCAACTTTTTTTTTTTTTTTTGACAATTGGAAATTCTTTTAAACACAACGGTAAAAAAATTTCTCACTTTTATTAACAATTTTCATTTAAAACAAAGTCAAACGAATTGAATTCGGTATGATAAAATTATTTTTTTTTTCCAGATTTTTTTTTCTTTTTACTTTTTGGCAATTGGAATAAATTCTAGACTCAATAGTAGAAAAAATTATCACTTTAATGGACACTTTCCATGAAAAACGAAGCCAAACGGATACCAAACTTTCAACATTTTTCAAGTGAAAAATTATATCAATCAAACACAATTAATTACAATTCTCAGCAAAACAATTTCTAAGCAATTCAATTCCCTATAAAACATTTTCTTTCCACCTATTTTCCACATTTACAATCAAACGGACCCTAATTTATATGATAATTGTGTTTTACCTAACATTTCTTCAAAATATATAATTTCAAGTATCATATCCTCAAATAATTACTTTTTAGAGAATAAAAAAATACTGAATCTAATATATGCATTGCAAAAAGTAAACAATGAGATTAAGTTCAGATAATGCATATTTTCAGGAAAAAAATATATTAAATTAAAAAACTAGTTTCAAGTGAAAAAAAATGTGTGATATAAAATTATACATATTCAATCAATTATTATTTTATATTTTCATTGGGCTCTAAAAGATTTTAAATAAAATTATTATCTTATTCATTCAACGAGATTATTAATTTATACATTGGCCCAAATCGAGATCGAAAAGTTTTATTATTTAAGCGAGTTTATTAATTTATAATTTTTAAGATTCATTAAAATCCTAATCAAGGACACCCCTCTTATTTTCTTGAAAAAAAAAAGTATTATTTGTATATAGAAATAAAAAACTAATTACATGAGTAATTATACAAAGATATGTTAATTCAACAACAAATCAAACACAAAATATTAGGAGTTAGAAACAATAGTATATGATGAATGCCATTGATCAAGGTCTTAGTGTCATATTGATTTCCTTTGGTGCAAATATTAACTACTCTAAGATAAATTTATTTTAATACTTACCATGCCCATTTGGTACATCTTTCAAAGACAACAAATATTACTACTAAAAAATTGTGGCTTTAATCATGAATATTTCCGTCGGTTATCCTACTTATTGGTGAAATTTTTCCATCTTACATATCGAAAGTGAAAATCTCGTCGATAATTTTCCTACTGTAACATAATGGGCAACAATTACCGACATATTTACCTACAGATACAAGTCCATTGAAAGGCGTAATTGATAGACCACAAGTGAATATTCATGTACTACCCCTTGTTCATCCCGAGGGGATAGCCTAGAAGACTTGTAGAGAGATTGACATGAAACATATTTGTTTTCGTTCATTTCTATTACAACAAGATAGACTTTATCTGAGATTATTTTAGCAAATGAAAATTATAGACAATTTTCATTGCTATTTTTGTTGGTAAATTCCCACATTATTTCCCGGGGATTAATTTCGTTCCCATTTTTCATTCCTAATTTTTAATGAATGTTTGCTATGAAAATAAATTTGACACAAATTTGAATTAAATTCATAAAAATACAAATTTTATTATTATATCCTATTAAAATTCATTGTTAACCACAAAATTTATGCATCCAAGACAATAAATTTTTCCACAAATTATTTACAATTTTGGTATTTTCCTTTTTTCACAATTTTGCGTCATAGAAATATTTTTTTATGTTTTTTCTTAACTTTATGTTTTTTAGAATAACATTTTTATTTTTCAATATATACAGACGAAATAAAGTATTTACCAAGGGATGGTTTCCATTGGAATTGTTGAACAATCTGTCGAAAAAGCATTAATTAACCAATGGATTATCGGTGAAATTTATTGACGGAATTTTTTCTTTGGGAAATCCTTCGATATTTAAATATCCTTAATTATTTGAAAAATAATAATAATAAGGTTATTATTTATTGTCCGGCGATAACTCAATTACCATGTCAATGGCTAATACCGATGGAAATTGACTATCGATAAATTTTCATTGCTGAAGCCCCACATTCAATATATGTACCAGTTACATTAACAATTTTATGGACGCTTTATGTGTCACAATGAGTGCCAGCCGTGGAATGTAAATAATTAAAGGGAAGAGGCTTTTAATTGAAAGAGTCATAAAAATATTTGTGTTCCTCAAGTAATCATCTTCCCTTTTGAGTGTTAGAATATACATGAATGATAAATAAACACTAAACAGAATCTCTCTCTCCAAATTTGAGAAAAAATGTTTGATTTTAATAGTTACTTTTTAGACCCTTAAAAATCACGTAAAACTTACAAAGACCTTGTCACCACTCATTATATGCCTTTGTTCCTCCGCCACCCACACTTTTTATCACACGTTTTCTAAGTGGACAACAACAATTAGCGAGATTCATTTTAGGGCGATGTGAAAGTTTTTAACGAACAATGGGAAAAAATGAATTCAAGTATATTTATGTCAATGTAGTCGACAAATACCAAGTCTAGTATATTTATGAAATTAGAGCACCGACCTAATGATTCATTGTCTCTGATATAATTTGTCTGTTTAGTGCATGTAGCGGAATAAATCTTCAATTGTGTATTCCAGGCTCAGATTAAACTTACCAACCAATATCAATCAATCAATCCAAAAACTTCAACTTACAACAATATTCACTTATGGTTACTCTCTTCTTTTCTCACCCACAAAAGGAACAAGGTTTGGTGATGATTTGCAAACCATTAAGGCAAAGAGAATACAACAAAGACGGTAAAACAAAGAGGCAGTCGTTTTCTCTCAATTCACAACACAAATCACACACTTACAATAAGAAGGGAAAATGATATATATAGGTTTGTTTAGGTTTCTAGACTTGGGCCAATATCCAACAAATGGGCCAACACTAAGAAAATGGGCCAAGACACAAGAAAGTCATCCTAGAAGTGACTTTGGGTCAAGACAACATTAACATATTTAAGTTGCTACTAGTGGCCCATGTTACTTTCGGATCAAGCATAAGGATTGACTGATTGATATTTATTTCACTCATCGGTCGAGGCCTATGAAATATAATCCGACACTGTTTGACATCATTGTCCGGGATTTATTGGGTATCAAAAAACCCAACAGTGCAAACTCAATATTTGTATTTTTCTAAAACTTATTTAAATCTTTCGAAGGGAAAAAATTAGAACAAATATTTGGTCTTTCCAAAAAGTACAGTTCAATATGATATCGTGGTTAACTCTCATCATTGCCCATTCATCTCCACATGACAAATGTTCTACATGACAATAGACGATTTTTTAAAACTAAACATTAAACTTACTGTTAGAGGCATCCATTGATGCTCAAAAGCCAAAGTTCATCTTCTTGTTCATATATAACTCAATTTGAAATGTAAATTAGACTCCACATTGCCCATCCTCATTGTCTTTTCCGAGTTTCATACGTTTGTACCACTTGGCACAGGCAATGTAGAGAACCAAATCGACTGTAGTCAAGCCAGCTAAGAGAAAATAAAACCTGTCTAGATGACCTCTGTTAAGATTTCCCGGGATCCATCCAGGCATATTATCGACAGTAGAAAATTTCGTTACAAGGAAGACAAGCAAGCTACTAATATGTAGTGTACTGTCAATGCTCTTAAGCCCACCGGGTGCTTGTGCATTGAAGAACTCCAACTGACCTACATACATAAAAACTTCTGTGGCTCCAATTCAAGCATATTGAGGGACTTGCCAAAATATGCTCAATGAGCTCGAGCCTTGGCAATGTCTGCAATCTTTTGTGGCGTATTTGAGCATGTGGAGCTCCACAATACCAGCTAAGAGCATCGGTATAATTGCTATAACAAGTCCAATCCCCATTCATTTAGACCTTGCCCTTTATTCTTCCTAATTCTACTAACATGTGGATCTATCACTCTACGGTACAGGAATATGAAGACTGCGACGCTAAGGATGTTAAAGATAGACATGCTTGCAGGAGGGATTCTGAAGTTTGAAATTGCGTCACCTTGTTCCACAAACAATGAGTCCATTTGGGTGAAGACTGTCGAATAAATTATGGTCCAGAGCCAAATTGGGAGTACCCTTAGAATGCATTTCACCTCTTCAATTTGGGAAACGGGGACAGAGGCGCCAAGGATTGTGCCAAAAAAACTGGTGAATTAGTGACTGCTGCTCTGTCCAAGAGTCTTTGATGACAATACATGTAATTAGACATCATATTTAATTAATCAGATGGGAATTTAAATTTGGTGTTACGCTTACTTGAAAGCATTGGTGTGGAGCATCTTTCTAGCATCAAATATTGATTTCTCATTTCCATCCTCCTCGTGTAAGTTATGAACTTCACCTGCTGGCATTTCCTCCTTCCAATTCTTGGCTGCTGCAACTCTCACTTGTGAAAACCTTGCAAGGGGATTTCCTCTTGGCTTGAAGTGTCTGTATCTTTTGGTACCTCCAAGAAACGGGAGAAGAGCTACAAAGGCTGATCCAGTAGAATCCCAAAATCCAAGAACCCATATTCCTTTATCCTGGAAATAGCCTAAATGGTGATGGAGAAGAGTTCACCAAGGTTCAAAGCCAGGTAAAAATAGCTGAAGAAGGCAACTTTCGAATGTCCCTCTTACACATCCTCTTCATTGAATTGATCAGCTCCAAATGTAGCAATATTAGGTTGGTGACCTCCATTTCCAACAGCAATTATGTATATAGGGACGTAGAAGAGACTTACGCCCCAACTTGATTGGTTCCACGAAGTTTTTTCATCCCCACAACCTCTAGGTTTCAGCAAAAAGAGCTGTGTTGCTACTGACGTAGAAGAGACTTACGCCCCAACTAGATTGGTTCCACGAAGTTTTTTCATCCCCACAACCTCTAGGTGTCAGCAAAAAGAGCTGTGTTGCTACTGATACTAAGACTACCCCCTGAAATTACTTGTTTTTCATCACATTCTTGTCTGTATAACGTCATTATACTGAAAAACAATCTCTTGTTAGATTGGACACTTACAATGACAAAGATGACCAGAAAGATGGCACAAGTTTTTATACCTTCCCCAATACGAGTCACTGAGGAATGCACCAACAGGAGAGAAGATATAAACCGATCCATTCCATTTACTAACGCTGTTGGCAGCATCAGCATCAGCATCGTCTCGTCGCAGTATTCTAGTCAGGAACAGCACCAAGTTCACCCCAACACCAGTAGCCAGATTTTGAATCACTATATTTCGACAAATACTTGTTAATAAAGGGATCCGTATTAGAGTAAGAGAGTAAATGTCGAATGAAATAATGGAAGGGGCTTACTGAGTATGATAATTCCAGCAACCTAATTTCCTGTTTGTTCTCTTAGTGCAGGACGCCCATGAAGATCAATAGTTCCATCACCAGTGCATTCTTGCTCTACTTCTTTTAACTTCTGCTAAAAAATTCATCCATCAATGTCTTTATGCTAAAAAAATCCGTAAATCATATATATTTTTGGAATACAAAATAGAAGACAACTTCGTTGCTAACAAGAAATTTTACTTTCGAAAAAACAATGAATGAAAGAGAAGGTGAAAATTGAAAAGTAAAATCCTTAGATACTTGTCATGCCATTAATGAAGAGATGAGAATGAAGTTTGGTAGATGGATCACCAGTAGATGGAAGGGAGAAATTAGTTTATGTACCAAGGCATACATATAGAGTTTGGCCGAGTAAAATGGAATGTCCACATTTAATGATGAAATATAGAAACGATGGAATTCCCACAATTATGCCAAAGGAGTTTTGAGTCTGAGAAGCTCATTTCATGTGCAGGAGGAATTTCTGGATTAATTGTACCGATAAGCTTGTACTGATAGTTACAAGACTAAAATATTTATGCTCTTGCTAATATCAATAAGCTTATACGGATTCACTAGATATAAGCTTATGTAAGTATACTACAATAATTGAAGTATAGATTGCTTGTAATAATGTCCTTTATGGGTACATAAAACACGACATGTACAAAAATATTGCCACTTGTGCATCATCACATTTGCCTCCATCTCTATCGACTAATCAATATGCTGACATTTTCATCAAAACGCATTCTCTTGGACGTTGTGAGATCTTATTTCTAATCAAAAAAATTCGTATTGAAATTTGCTTAATCCTAATTTTGTCTCTACAATTTCATTATGAGAAGATTGAATTATGAAATTTGCGAGAGAAAAAGTAAATTAATGAGCAATTTAGAAAAATCAATATGAGAAGATTGAGTTCTCAATTGTTTCGAAATTTATGTCTTCACTATATATTAAAAGATGCTAAGCAAAGGTCACACGTGTCGCCATTTTCCGTCGTCGTCAAAAATTCCCATTTTTTACCAAAAAAAAAAAAAAAATTCCCTAAAATTCGTCAAAAATTCCCGCACCGCTGTCCTGCTTCTCCATTATCTCACGCAACCAACCACTCCTCCATTTTCCCACGCAAGCTCCCATTGGAATACACCCAGGTTTGGATTATATTTTCAGGTTCTGGGTTCTTATGATTCAATTTTTTTCTCCATAGTTTCTTCTTTCTATGTCTGCTGTAATTTTGTGAACCTGCCTTGTTTTTGCAGGATTCGAAGTTTTCACGTCTGACATTGAGAAAGAGATTGTTCAAAATAGTGATTGAAATAAGGTATTTTAATGTCAAATTTTTTTTTCAATAGTTTTCAATTTTTTGCTGTGAATGTATTTTCTATTACCATCAATCTATTGTCATTCTTAAACTCAATTTAACTACGTATTTTTGGATTTTTAATTAATTTAATTGATGATTGTTGAAATTGAATTTTACCATGTTTGACTTTCTATGGATAGGTCAAGTGTAATGGTAAAAAAAATTATATATATATCGTAGGGAGGCACACAGGGGCATCTCTGTGCGCGCACAGAGGCACACGTGCCTCCGTGCGATTTTTTTTTTGTTTTGCGCAATGCTACCAAACTAATGAAGATTTAATGGTGGACATTTATTATTTGTTAGTATTTTGTAGTATTGGACCAATGACTTAGAACCTAATCTTTCTTTTCTTATTTTTCCCACAGGTGTATAGAGGCAAGATAAAGATGGTTAGCATAGATAATATAGGTGGAAAGAGAAATGATGATTTAATGGTTTCTTGAACATAAATTCGATGACATTACATTTTATGTTTAACTCACGAATTATATAGCACTATTAAATCTCTATAGTTCTAGATGCTACTATTAAATAATTCTCGCTAAACTTCAAAGAGTCATCCAAATAGAAAATGAAGCAAGCATCACATTTATCGCGATCATAATTTGGATTTTATGGCTTGGGGGGAGGGGAGAGGTTTGTATTTGATTTGTTATCTTTAAGTATTTAATTGATTTCCTTAACTTTGAATCTTACTTTAATGTAGATGTTTAGCTTCAATATTTAACCCCTGTTTGGTGGCTGGTTGATATTCTTCCTACGAAAGCTATTAAATTGAGAAATTTATTAGACAACGGAAGGGGAGTTGAATAGATTGAAACCTTGCTCAGATTTGATTTAGGGGCATCTATAAATTATCTTTGCTAAAGATGGTAACTTATTTATTTATTTTAATTTCTTGAGTAGCCATCGGATGGAGTCAGTAAAGTGTTCTTTGGAGTTCAAATCTCTGATGTAGAAGTTGAAATTTCTATAAACATTTTAAGAATTGTTAGACTAAAATGATGGCTATACTTGTTAATATATAATGCTTGTTTCCTGTAATTCTTGGTAAAGAGAAGACAAGAAGGAAAATAAAAGGAAAAATGTTGTTAGTAGCCTCCATCCAAATGCCTCCATCCACTTGGATGGAGAAGTGGCTTCTCCATCCAAGTGGATGGAGGCAAGCAATGCCTCCGTCCAAGTGGACAGGGGAATTTCTCCATGTGATGGAGGCATTGCTCCCGTGCACTTGGACGGAGGCATGGAGAAATGCCTCCTCCGTCCACTTGATGGAGGCATTTCTTCATGTCTCCATCCAGGATGGAGACACTGCGCACGGAGGTGCTTCCATGAGTTTTTTTGTTTACAATGCTACCAATAAGAGAAAAAAGACTAATGAAGATTTAATAATGGGCATTTATTGCATAATCAATTTATTTTTTTAGATTGTCTTGTGCTTTCAGTTAAGAGGAATGATACGTGAACTGACAATTGTCTTGTGCGATTTGAAAGTGCCCACTTTGAACTGAGTCATGAGATAACCCAATTACTCGATCCATCTGGAGTAATGAAAAGTGACACTTGGTACCAATTTGTAAGGTAAATATTGAAGTTTCAGACTGATCAATGGATTTTCTTCTTCTTTTTATTATTATTATTTTATCTAACATGTTATGCCAACTCTCATTTCGTTTTTGCAGCTGTACATATTTGATTTCTTGGTAAGTTTTTGTTCTCCTTTTTGTATAAGGTCTGGAAGCAATGGAGGTGGCTACAGAGCAAAAAAAGACAAGTGTGCCGGTGTTGCCATGGATGAGAAATCCAGTTGATAATAACTTCTACGAAGAATGTCCGTTTAATTTCCTCCCTTTTCTGGACCCTAGGTAATATATGTTCAACGACGGTACTATTGCAATTTGCAGCTGGACAATGTATTTATTTTGTTTTCTGTATATTTTCTTGTTTGTTTTGCTGAGTGGAAATTTCTGGTAGCATAGGAAAGGGGTTTGGATTAAATTATGGATGTATTAATACCATCACAACTTATTACACTGTGGTTAGATTAGTCGAAAGATTTGTTACTTATTCTTCTATGATCAAATTTCTCTTTCTTCCCCTGTCACCCTCCCTGCTTTCCTTATTTTAGTTGTATTCATTTTCATATTAGAGGCTGCATTATGTAACATGGGTATCACTTCGCTTCACTCTTCCATCTTTGTCTTGTGTTCTTGATTATTTGGCCTTAAAAGTTTCAATTATATATATTTATTCATATTTTTTGTCAAAAGTTTCATCTATATTTCATAACAACAAACTGAGAAAAATTTATAACAAAGTAATGCCGCATTCCGTTAGTGTTGAGAGTTGGAATCTTTATTATTTATTAAAGTAAATAACCAAATATTGAATAAATTATATCCAAAAATGTTAGTTACTTGTTTTTGTAATTTTTCTGAACTATCTGACGTGCTATGAGTATCTGAGTTATTTATTTAAATAGCTTATTATAAATTTTGTACTTAATTTTCCTAATCTGTGACTATTGACGAGGCTTTGGTAATTGAAATTTTCACCATTTAACTCATCTTTGTCACTTTCTTCCTGCTTCGAAAAGGATTGTCATTTAATTCGTTTGGATATTTTCCTTGTAAGAGTATTTTCCTCCAGTTTGGGTTCTATTTTCTCCCATAGATTAGGGTATATGGAAATGCTCATTTCAATTTGAAGTATTCTTTTAGGAGATTGTGGAGTGTCCAAAATGGCAAACGCCAGTCCTCCTAGGATTGATACTTCCACTGATGCCGACACTGAAGACAAAATCATGAAGGTGATGTCTAATATACTTCCATACAATATGTTTAGTTCTCACATTTTGTATACATAAATCAACATATACATTTCAATTGATATACAATTGATTGTATACATTTTCAATTGTGCACATTTCCCACCTTCCAAGTGATCTGGGCCTTATGAAAACAATTTTTGAAATCAATTTTTTATTATATCAATTATTTCAAAAACAATTTTTGAAATCAATGGCTTAAATCTTGTCTACGCTTAGTTTGTAAACAAACTTTGTACAACTAGATTAATTCTGTTTTTCGTGTATTAGAGATCTAAGTGATCTGGGGCCTTATGAAAGCTGTTTGAGAAGGCTCAAGTCAAGTCGGACTTATGAATTTTGTTTTGCTTGTTAATATGAATATATCCATGAAATTTTTGTGTTGATTTTGCTGTTTATATGACTGTTTCTCTTGGACCCTTAGTTTTTTCTTTCTATTATCGAAGAATGCAATTTAGTTACTATTTGTCGTAATTAGTTAATTATTCAGCCACTTTTATGATTCCGTAAAGTATGTTTTGTCGTCTTGTTGTGCCTCATAAAATGTTGCTATCGAACAAATTTTAGATATTTAATGATAAAACCATGTCTCATGATTTATGTCTTGGTTGAATTGACTCAA